GCTAATGATAGTGTTTCACAGGTTGGCTTGTTTTGCTTATGCTATTAATTATTTTGTATGGTAAAAGAACATGGACCAGTGAATTCTGGGGGCAGGTTTAGGGGGGACAAATCTTTGCCACAGTCCAGCACCAAAAGTTCAAGAAGTTGTCCCCAGTTGTGCACTTTCGGTCAGAGAGCATGTCTAGCTTTTTCAAACTACGTCCTAGCTAGTCAGCAGTACTGTGGTGTAGCCTGTTCTGCAAACCAAAACAACAACAGTTTCTTTAAAGTTTATTTAAGGGTTTTGTTTAAAGCAGTAAGTAAATGAGATCTTGCTTGTTTGCAGACAAACAAAACATTTTGTTTCATGTGGGGCTGTTTTTGTTGTAGCACTGCTTATACAGGTCACTCTAAAACAGCGTCTGTGATTTGTCAGTTTGCATATCAGCCAAGTAGCTTATTCCTGTCAAAGCAGGCAGTTCTTGACATTATTGAGTAGCATTAGACTCTCACCTTCACCTCCCATGCTTTGTCACTCTAGCCTCCTTACACTTAAGCCTATCTTTCTTTCTTATCTGCCAAACGTCTAAATGCTCTTCCTGCCATTATACTATTACAGATGCATCTATAAGATTCTAACAGGACACTCTGTCTTTTTTATCAGTCTGTTTTTCAGAAACACACACACACACACATAGTTTCTTTTATACAATGTCAGGAGGTGAGGTCATATATACACACTTAAAAATAAAGGTGCAAAATGATGGAGCAAGACCATTCAAGAACCGCATCAGGTTTGAATCAACCTTTTATTGGATGCTTCTTTTCAAGACCCATTTTTGAAAATGAGGTCTTTGTTTTTAAAGTTAAAAAAAATGCACATAAGGTAAAATCTTTGGACCCTTTAGCAATGTATGAATTCCTGAATATCTTTGATCTGGAATGCCTAGATCTTCATCTTGTTACTACAAATAGAACAATAATCAGTTAAACAACTAGCACAGAGTTCTAAACTTTTTCATTCATTTGTTTAACAAATTGATCCAATATTAAAGGTCAGTGTTGGAAAAGGTATGTGAACCTCTATGAGTATCAGTTTAGTTCAAGGGATACTTAGAGTAAGGTTCAGGTGTGTGTGAGGTATGACTTTGAGGTGTGACTTTGGGTGACGCTGTCCTATTAAAAAAATTAACCTGAAATTAATGTTGTGGCATGACCTGAAACTATCAAATTTTGGTATTGCCCACACACATTTGTGAGCTCACACCATGCCTTGGTCAAAAAACATTGATGCTGATTAAAGCTGTTTGTAAAACAACTTCTGAAGAGTTTGGACTTCACCAATCCACTGTCTTGCTGATAGTGTACAAATGGAGAAAACACCATTGTTACCCTTCCCAGGAGTGGTCGTCCAACAGAAAGCACTGCAAGAGCAAGTGATATAATACACAGGGAGATCATAATGAATGCCACTGCCATGTGTAAAGATCTGCAGGCCTCACTTGCACTGGCTAATGTCAGTGTTCATGACTCCACCACCAGGCAAACACTGAACAAGAATAGTGTGTATAAGAGGAAAGCAAAGAAGAAGCTATTACTCTCCAACAAGAGCTCCCTGTTTAAAGTTTCCTAAGGACCACCTGGATAAGCCATAAAATTACTGGATAAATGTTCTGTGGACAAATGAGTCAAAATAGAACTTTATGGCTTGAACAAGAAATGCTACTTTAGACAAAAACCAAACATTCCAGCTTAAGATCCTTATCCCAACTATAAAACATGGTGGTGGCAGTATCATGAACAGCTTAATTGTACAGGAGAATGTCAGGGCACACGTCTAGGAACTGAAGCTTAACAGAAGGTGGGTCTTACAGAAAGATAAAGACCCTAAACTTCTAGTTTTGGAACTGCCAAGTCAAAGTCCAGACCTTATGTTGTGGCATGACCTGAATTGTAAAGAAAGCCCACCAACATTACTGAGTTAAGGTAGTAGTAAATTTCTCCACGCCCATGTACAGAACTGATCAACAATTACAGGAAACATTTGGTTGAAGTCATTGCTGCACAAATATTTAATGTTGCATCACTTTGCTGTACATAATCATTTGTGTTGTGGCCTCTCCTTTTTACAAAGTTTTTTGGTCCTGATATTGTAGGCTAGCCCTGTTTTCTGTGGTATTACAACAAAATCAGGACATTTTTTGTCCTGAAAGGAATAAAAATACACACACACACACACACACACACAACCATGGTCATTGAAAAATGCAAAAAGCGTATAGTCATGGGCCAAAACACCCTAGAAGATTATGTAACCATTTATCTAAGGGTGTTTGTCATTATGCACTTGATGGAAGGAGCTTCAGAAAAATTCCATTCAGTGTTTTCATAGTGCAATCATTCGCCAGGATATCATCTCCCGCTCCCTTTCTTCTCTATTGAGCAGCTTTTCAGCCACATGAAACGAGAGCTGCTCCTTTTATCATCACTATAGACAGTCGATCAAAGAGATTTTTCTATCTGTCATCTGAATCGGCAGGTAGTGGCGATAAGCCAAAGTCACTGAATCACACTCCTACATATGCAGCAAATATAGCAGGAAAAGAAGAGTCAGTTCAAGAAGCAGCGAGAGGTTTTATCATGTAAACTCATTGTTTCAATTAGAAATTAGATATTTCATGCAGTCATTGTCTGGAGAGTGATGTGAGTCACTGTGAAAGCAATTTTCAGAGCAGGCTCGCTGGAAAGCTCATGGTTTTGTTCTCAAAGAAATGAAAATATGAATATGAAAATGTGTCATACCAGAGATCTGAGCAAAAGGGCTCGTTGACAATTGCTCAGGAGATTGACAAAAACGCTTTCACTGATCTGGACTGATGAATCTCAATGGTTTTGAAACCTAAAAATATTTAAATCAACCACATTGTAGTGTAGAGACCATTATCCCAATAATAAAAGTATTCAAAAGATCTGATCTGCAGCATTTTAGGAATACATCCGCAATAATGAAGCATACGTTTCTGTTACTGCCTTGGGGTAGTAGACCTCATTAGGGCATGGCCTTAAACATTGCTGCTTGGAAACTCATTTAAAAACTGGCATGCCCCAAATCTGGGTTATCTCAGGCAACGGAGGTGATTGGGTGTTATTTTGTTTAACCAGTAGGCATCAAGCAGAACAAGTACATAGTAGAAGCCATTAATAGTCCATTAATGAATCATAAATCTTCTGGCATGTTTAGGCAGGCTGCAATATTCCTTATTTTTAGCCAATCAGATAGATGTGTTTACAAATGCTCAGCATGTGACCATAGTGTGAGATTATAGTTTGAGTAATGGTGTGAAGCAATACATGAATGCAGTTCAATTCAACTCAGTTCAAAGTTTGGATGTGTTTGAATCAGTGAGACTCAGCAGCTGCCCAAACGTCTAAACTAGTCTGCTGTTGTGTCAGTTATTCAGAAATTGTCGTTTAAATAGCTGCATATTTGGTTTTCTCAGGGAAATATTAAAGAATGAACAGACAGCGGCTGTAGATATTTAGTTTTTTAGTTTAACCTGTACGCATTGTTCTCTTCTATGCTGGATATTTTTTCTAAGTCAGAGCCAACTGCTGGTTCTGAACATGTTATCCTAATGTTAAAGCGGCGTACGCATTAGTTAGCTGTTACTAGTCAAGACATGACTTACGGATTTGTGTTGCAACCAAATTTAGTAAAGAAATAGTTTGAAACTAGTGTACTTAAGTTTATAGTAAAGATTTTATGCACAAACTTAAGTATAAACTTATGCAAACCTGGTGTAACCCAGTCCTGGAGTTTGCTAAACATCACTGGAACTTTTACTGCAACCAAATTCTATGGTCAGATAACCCCACCAGAGTCAAGGTCATGCCGAAATGAAGCTAATTCCTACGTTCACGTACAGTGATGGGACGTAACAGAATCCAAGCACTCGGAATGCATATTCAGAATACACAAATTAAGCATGTGCATTCAGTCTCCTCCGTAGTGCACATGTTCACAAGTGATCAAACTTAGCATCGGTGTTACACTGGATTTGTGTTTGTGCAAGTGTAGCAGACAATGAGACCAAAAAAAGTTGAGAATTTCAGCACTTTTTTCAAATAGTAAGCAATTTCTTTATGAAACATGTTAACGAGGATCAACAACAAGGAACAGTGTGAATTAAGCAAAAATTACACCAGCAGTTCTTTCCATGTCCCTTATCAAGGTGTATTCTAAACGTATTCTGAATATATTCTGAATATCTTACTTTGTCATATTGTAAGAGTATACATTTATTAGAGTGTATTCAGGACTTAGCTATCATTACATATATCTACATATTCTGACAAAACTGCATTATGGACTGCCTAGTAGTTTTACATGGACATAGCAGCAGATTTTATATCCAGTTGTTGCCTTTGCTGGGTGTCTAAAATAGTCTTGACTTTCCTGCAGGACAATGAACCAAAGCATACCTCCAAATCCACACAAAAATGGTTCACTGACCATAGAATGAGGCTTTGAGGTGAGCCGTAGAGGAGAGTACACAAGCAAGGACCAAGGACTTTGAAGGATTTGGGGAGATTTGTATGGAGGATTGGCCTCGTGTCTTTTTAAATCGTCCAGCATTAAAGGAGAGCATTTGGTGCTGTTATCTTGGTAAAGGAAAGGCACAGAGAGTACTGGGGTGCCAACAGATGTGTCACATGATTTTGAGAGTTTTTTCTTCAAACAATTTTACCAAGTTGGTTATATTGTCAGTGTAAGACCGAGATACTTTTTTACACCCTTTTTTGCTGATCTTTACCAAGGGTGCCAAGAATTCTGGCGGGCACAGTATGTAGGAAAAATCTAATGAGCCCATTGATCTAAACATAGCTTTTGTTTACCTTAAGGTTGCTTTGAGAGCAATTCTGCTGTGCTCTTAATCCATTTCTTTGTGCTGAAATTCCAAACAACAGTGATGAATAATGAATCAGCAGTGAGAGGTACAACAACAGAAATCTGCTTACCCTGTAGTCACTGGCTGTGACGTAGAAGATGGGTTGGAAGGCCAGCCAGATGATGCAGGTGGTGTACATGGTGAAGCCGATAAACTTTGCTTCGTTGAAATTCTCTGGGCACTTCCTGGTCTTGAAGGCGTAGAAGGTACAGAGGATAATGAGGACACAGTTGTAGGTCAGGGACATCAGCATGCTGGAGTCCTTGCTGTTGCACTTCAGCCTGACTATATCTCTTCTCTCTGGGCTGACCTCCTTCCTCACGCCTGGTGCCTCTACCAAGAGCCAGACCACCACCACCAACAGCTGACAGGAAATGAGGGCAGCACAAATGGCTACTTGTGAAGCTGGACTGATGAACCTTGGCCTCTGAGCTCCATCCTTGACGCCATTGAAGATACGGGCAATGCGGTTGGTCTTGGTCAGAAGTGCCGAGTAGCAAACGGCAAAGGAGGTACCCAGTCCAAGACGACGTAATGTACACACTACTGCTGAAGGTTTGGCAATGTAGATGAAGGTCATGCAGTAACACAGGAGCACTCCAAGCAGTAATATGTATGAAAGTTCTCGTCCACTAGCTTTTACCACTGGCGTTTCATTGTTCTTCAAGAAGAGACCGATCACAAAGAGTGTGCAGAGGATCCCCATACAGGCAATGGTGACCGGTCCAATGGCCCACGCATCCTCCCAGTGGATGTACTCCTCAGGCAAGTTGTAGCAGCCAGTCAGGTTACCAAGAGGCCACTGCCCAAAGCTACAGTCTGCACAAGTAAATTCATCAAGGAGGTACTGGTAGGGCTGGCAGGGGATGCAGATCCAACAGCAGACGTCACCGGGTTGCATACTCTTGATCTCGTTCTTTCTGCAGGGGTCACTGCACTGTGAGGTAGGTACTTGATTCTCCCAAGGAATCAGACTAGTGTTCAGGCTCAAACTCTGGGCCCAGTAGCCCACTTTGCGGTAAATATACACACCATCCTCTTTGTGGTAGTGGAAAATGTTGTACCGGCCCAGGCTGTCTCCATAAGCATCGAACTGAACAATATTGTCTGTATCAGCTGGACGGAATGGTGCTATAGAGACAAAAGACAAAAGACAAGCCATGAAGGTCAAAGTAACAAAAACAAAAGACTTAGCTTCATCACAGAGCTCCAAATATTTCACAGTAAGAGAGGAAATATCCGACCCATAGATACATCTTTATGTAACAGCCCCTGGCTTCGCATACAATCTCAAAAGCCTCACTTGTTGGGTTTGTAGATGCAATGGACACAGGTGCAAACAGTGCATTTACATAATTGAGGCCAGGAGGTTGATTCACAAGTCTGCCTTGTTTCTTTGATGTGATTTCACAGTTCTTGAAAGAACATAAAAAATAGATCACTTCAGATGGGAGGAATTGTTAGAATTAAATTTGTTTTCAAGACACCGACAGGATCTTTACTCTGTAGTCCTGTTTCCAGCCGCACTACCTCCAGATTCTCCCGGTGGAGAGTAATCTGGTAAGTCAACTGTTTTAGGATGAATTTTTACTTTATGCTGTCATAACTTGATTAGCTAATAAATGGCACATTGATTAATATTGGGAAGCCACTGTATATTCAATGTCAAAGTAGGGCACTGGATTAGCACTCTTATTAGCACTTTATCTGTTCTTTGAGGGACAATTCTACCAAATTAGTTCGAATAGCAGTCATTAATCATTATTTCTAGGGTACCTACTATTGGGAGGTGATATATATATATATATATATATATATATATATATATATATATATATATATATATATACATATATATATATAAAATTACAAAAATGGAGATATGAGGTTTTTTTCCGACAGCAAATACATATATATATATATATATATATATATATATATATATATATATATATATATCTCCATTTTTGTAATTTTTATGAAGAATGGACCAAAAGAAACACCCCAAATGATGGTCCATTGACTTAGGTTTTTTCTTTGAGACTGCATCCTTGTCCCTCATGGCCACATGAGCAGTTAGATCCCATTGTTTTGAAAAAAACATGGTCCAAAGTGTGAAAATCAGTGTGTAGCATTAAGAATTGTCACTAATGAAGCACATATTTTCTGCAATTATTTTTCTGCAGTCTGTGTTTTAATGAACAACATTATGATTTTATGTGTGTAAAACTGTTCAAAGCTGTATTTGCTAGTCATGTACTTGCTAGTGTTTTTAAGTTATGCTCAAAATTAGCTAGAATTGTCATTACCAAAACATTTGGTAAAGTTCTGGTAGTGTCATGGTCGTTTTGGTAGTGACAAAAGACAATGTTTAATCATTCAGTCGTTCAGTCATTCACTCATTTGCTCAGTTATTGTTCAGGGTTTTAATAATATAACCATAATTAATGTATTGGGTCTCTCAAGGCAAAAGGATTTTAGTCTAAAATCCAAGTAAGTTAAATGTCTGAAATGTGTTTTGAGCTCTGATTTTGAACTAGTTTGGTGATCCTTATATGGCCATGCCTCTTGGCAACAAGCTTATTTGTGTAAAATGCATTACTGGTTGGCTTATTGTTTTGTAATTTTTATACATAAAAGGTCACCAGAATGCAGGAGCTGATGTCTCTGAAACTCAATTGTTTTCAGACCCCCAGAGTCCCCACTTCATTTTATAAAACCTCTATTTCTTCTGAGGTCTCAAGGCTGGCGGGAATGTGTACAGCTGTGTACAGATATATATTGCTCAGTATGGCAGTAGATCCTTCCTCTATGAAAATGAAACATATTGCTATATGCTGCCAGTGTATTACAAAATATAAATAGAATACACTGTAATAAATTTTCAATGTATTGCTTTTTTTTGCATGGTTTTGGTTATTTATTTTTAAAATGCAATAGGAAATATTCATGGTGTTGTGCAAACAAGATTAATTTGGGCTAATAAACAACACAATAAAAAAGATTGACCTACAAACACAGTGGACTGGATTGATGTGTTGAATCCAATCCATCTCACTACAACAGTTTTCCCTAAAGGACAGCTTCAGAGGTCCATCGATCTTTTCGAATAAGCTGCTTTAACAGAGCCACCAGCAGGAAATAACAACTGAGGTTCTGACTGCATCAGACTGGTATGACTAAAGGAGACTCACAGCACTACCTCTGAGTCTTTGATGATAGTTTACTTCAGGTAAAGACTACATGTAGTAATTCCGCACATATTACATGGACTACCAAGAGATTCTCATTGTCTTATTTACATTGTGGGTAAAATTTTTCCTCCACTGCCAATGGTGTGACAAAGGCAGTCTCAGAGTGTGGAGCTGATAATTAACGGCTCAGTGTCGCAACAGCACTCCTTATCTTCTGCGGGAAAATGAAAACAATCTAAATAAAGCTCCAAGCTCTCCACACAGAATGCTTGCATATGAGTAATCATTTTAAACCTCTTTATGTTTAGTATTTTCTGCTTCCAGTATTTGTCTGCCTCCCTTACTCACATAGGAGAACTCAAAAACAGATTAATAAAATTATGCTCTCATTTATTGAAGATAATTTAGCTTTTTATAGTGAATAACCATGTCATTCACACCAAATATTTCATCATCTACAGTACTGTGCAAAAGTCGCCCACCATTTATTTAATTTTCAGTCAAAGAAACCATTAACTACAAGTTGTTCAGTTTTCAGTGTAAGGAAAAAAGCTGAAAACATATTTGACAGAAAATTACACAGTATTTAATGTGTCCACATTTTGCCTTTATTGCAGCTACCATTTTTTTGAGACTTGCTTTTAATTTTTAGAGAAATCTATAGGGATATTCTCCCACACTTCTAAAGTTCAGTCGTAGAAGATCCATGATCCATATAATCACAAACACATTCAGTGATGTTGAGGTCTGGACTCTGGGGTGGTCAGTCCACTTCTGAGAACACCAGCAGCTTCTTTATTTGGTTTGCAAATGTTCTTTTTGTCTGTTTCCTTTTCTCAGTAACAGCTTCTTGACAGCTACCCATCCTTTCAGACCCATAGCACTGAATTGTCGTCTCACAGTGGAAAGATGGACAGAAACACCCGTGGATTTTAGCAGATCTGAAGTAAGAGTGGAGCTTGATTTTCTCCCATTAGGGTGTCCCATTTTCAGTTCTCCAGTTTGGAAACTCACTTACTTTCCTTTGACTTTCCCTTTCTTTATGCAAGTTAATTATCTTATATCTAACTGAATACAAATAACTTGTAATTAATGGCCATTTTGAGTGGATATGAAACTAATAAAGGGTGGTCTCTGACTTTTGCACAGTACTGTATACTGTAAGCAACCCATACAGTACAGGCTGTGAGTAACTGGCTGGGGACACATCTTTTATTGTGGCTCTGTACTGCATTTAAAATTGCCATGAGATTAAAGTGCAGACTGTCAGCTTCCATTTGAGCATATTTACTTCTATGTTGGCTGAATTATGTAGGAATTGCTTTTATATAGTCTCTCCATCTCAGGGGACCATAAGTAATTGAACAAATGAGTGTAAGGTTGTCATGTTTAGTGCTTATTGCAGATCATTTACAATTCATGACTACCAGAGGTCTGTGACCCATAATTTTAGGAAATTGTGGTCTGTAATGCAGTCATTTTCAGTTCCTGCTTATTTTGGGGGGCTTTTTTCAAGTTTTTCTTAAGTATGTGAAATGCATGCTCAGTGGGGTTCACATTTGGTCATTGCACTATATATGGCCATGTCATCATGTAGTATGCCTTAGATCATTATACTCTATAGTCTTCTTACCTGTTCAACAAACCATAACCTGACCCTTCTGTCCTTGAGTCTTGTCAGTAGTTTGCTTCTTATGGTGAACCTAATGCTAATGTATTCTTCTATTTATAGTAGTTTTTGACACCTCAGTAGTGTTCTTTGTTTAGTTTTAGTTTTAATTTTAGTTTGTTTTTGACCCAAAGAAGTCTTTGGTAATCCTACTCTGGTCTTCAATGGGCTGCCAGATTGTTTGCTATTGATAAGCTAGTTTCAAGGGGCAAGACATGATCTTGAAACAAGACTATAAGACAGTTTGTTAAAATTTAAGTAGTGCATCGGTCTGTGTCCTGTGGTCCTCCAGCAAGTCCAAAGTTTGGTGATGTCAACAGCATGTAGACATGGAAAGCAAGAGAAAAGCATGCATTTGATACAGATTCATTCTTCAAGAGTTCTTTAGTAAGGGCAATTGTTCTATTTCTAACCCCTGAGTTGTATATTGAACCATTTCATGCCTAAATGGTTCTTTATATTGATAAAAAATGTGTTGTAGATAGCTCTATATAGAAGCTTTTTGTAAATTGCTCTATATAGCACCAAAAAGGGTTCTTCTATTGTTACAAGCTTGACATCATGATAATAGCAGAACCCTTTTTGGTGCTATATACAAGTTGCAAATTACAGGTGGTTCTAGGGGGTCTGGGATCTCCTAATTAACCTTTTGGACTCCTTAAATGTCTCAAAATCAAAATTCTGGTGGGTCACTGAACATAAACTTATTATGATGTTATGTTGTCTGTCAAGGAAAAATAGATGATCCAATACAAATTCAGGGAAAAGTCTGCAAGCTTCACACAGTCTGCAAGCTTCTGTCTTTAGTGCTCTTAACTAACTAGAGCTGCAGCCTCAGGATGGCACTGTGGCAAATTGGTTCACCCAGTTGGTCCTTCATAACCTAGCAACTGTAACTATGCCCACATACCTCTGGAAAACTTCACCATATGCTGTAGCTTATTTTTAAATCCAAAAATTTGCCCTATTGCTCAAGAGATGGCAGGAAAAAGTGAATTGTCACTCATTTCTCAAACCGAAGACCAAAGAAGACGACCACATTAACAAACTACAAAAGAGAAACAAATATTTGGTTGCCATTGAAGCCAGCATCAACACTGCTACAGCAAATGAGATGGCAGCCAGGAAATGCTTGAGTAGCATGATGGCAAACAAATTGGGACCCCCAAATACCAGGGGGCATTTTGCACACTGGCTATATAGAACCATTTTTAAAAAAAGCTCTACAGAGAAACACATATATTCTCCATCAGTCTGAAGAACCATTTCACCATGCAGAGAACCATTTAGCATGCAAATGGTCCTATAACAAACTCATGCTTATAAATAGAATCATTGCCTTTAGTAAAAACCCTTGAAGAACCATCTTAAGTCTCTTATGTAAGATTTTGTAAGCAATTGTACTCATTTGAACTAATTTGGTTGTTTATAATGGCTTGATACAGACTATAAGCATAATGCAGCTCAGTGGCAAGCTACATTAAGAAACTAGTTGTTGCTCTGTCACAAAATCATTGTGTCTCTATTTTTGTAGTTTTTTTACTTTATTGCATAATTTAAAAACCCCCGTTATCCTTTGCATTGTGTTAAAATTTCAGGAGGGAAAAAAAACAATGACTTGGTTCAATGAAATGGTTCAAAATGACTTGGACATTGTCATTTTTCCTTCTCCTATAAAGAAACTTTCCTGGAGACACAAGGTTTTGTTCTGACAGCAACAAAATGCATTTTATTTCACATATGAATATCTTCTTCTTTGCCTTATAGGTTGGACAGCTCCTCTTTAACTGATGTTTACATGGTAAAATGGGAAATGGGACACCTCACAGCCTCACGGTCCTCATGTGCAAGTGCAGTTGAGGACCACAAGATCACAACTGCGCCAATTGGGACAGGGCTGACGGTAGCAAAATCTGCTGCTAAAAAGGTTGCGGCCTCAGGCATTTCCTCTCAAACGCACCCAAAATTCCTTTATCCTGTGCAATTTTAATGTCTGGAGTATGATCCATAACATACTAGCTAGAAACACAGCGATCGAAGCCAATTCTTTGCACATCACATTTACCCCAGCTGTGTCATCCTCAGCTCATCTACATTTAAGCCAAATTATTCTATGATTTTATCCAGGCATGTGTACTCGTTACTAGATAATGTCTGTCCCCACAACACTATTGCTAAGCTCACAATAAACTAACCAGCTGATTCTGACTATTTGTTTGTTTATTCTTATTTTACAGGGGTTCATATTGTAAAAGTTTCCTTGGGGGTCCACACTGCATTTTTTTGAATGCCAGAATGTTGGTCAGCTGTGCTATCAAACTATTGTTTTGATGTGGACAAGAAAAAGTTTAACTACTACTGTTAACAATAAATGTGGTACTTTCAGCAAAGACAAGCTAAACTTAAAACAAATCTTTTTGTTTGTATCATGATTTCAGTGTGTGAATGCTGCAGCTACTAATCACCCCTTTGCTATGATTCTCACTGAAAGCCCCTTTACTTTTGACCTGAATGGTCAGCATGGAAAACAACGCTCATGACAACGCTACTTAACTGCTTTAAGAGTACCTGGAGGACCCTGCATAAAAGACAGCCATGCAGGATGCAAAACCTGCACGCAAAACATGCCTTTCCCATTGAAAACAATAGAAAAAAGCTGTGTTGGTCTTTTGCATATAGTGTGAACCCACACACTTCCCCACACCTTATTCTGGTTTTACATTTCTGGCCTGTTCTACTGGCTGTGACTACCATATGATTCACCCAACGTACATGAGAATTCCCTCAAATTGAAGCTGATATTTTGCACTTTACCATCATAGTAATTGTACAATTGATTAAAGACTCCACTGTATATTCACATATACATTTGCAATGAAGTAATAATGAAATTTCCCAGAGACTTGCAAAGAAAAATGATATGAACCCTGGACACCAAGCATCAGATTAGTGATGAACTGCACTCACCATCAAACTTTGTCCTCAAGATGTAATCTTTGTAGAACTTCTTTCCATTCAGTGGTTTCATGGCACTGCAGATTTTAGTGGTGTTGGGACACACTCCTTGCTTCATGTGGTGCAGAGCGTGGGCCATTGCGTACACAGCATTCACCACAAACATGATCTTGGATTCTTGCTCAAACTTGCCATCTCGAAGTGAATGCTTCCCACAATTGATGTCGTGCAAGCTACATTGGAAACGGTTCTCCCAGAACTCTCGGAACCAGGGGTTGCGCGTGTTGTTGTAAGGATTTAGGCTTGTGAAGTAGTCGGCAAACTCACGGATTGGGTACGAAGCAAGCTCAATAGTGAAAGCTCCATCTGCCACTAATTCACTCCCTCTGACCACACTCTCCTGTGCCCCCCAGCCATCACTGGCCACCCAGATGAAGGAGACATTCATGCGGTTGGCCGCAACTAGAAGCTCCCTGGCGTCCTCACTTCTTGTGAAGAGGATCACGACTTTTGCATTCGATTTCTGTAACAGAGACCTGATCACTGCTTCATAACTGTAGCGGTCCATGGAGCGGCTAACCTTGGCAGATGTTGCGATACAGATTTGCAAGGCCCTGGCCTCCTGCTGGAAAGCATCAATGCCAGTCTCTCCGTAGTCACCCTCTGAAGCTACAGTTGAGACATAGGTCCAGTTGAAGTAGCGTAGGATCTCAGCCATGGCCTTAGCCTGGTAGAAGTCTGGGGGTACTGTTCGGGCGAAGTAGTCATAGCGCGACTTATCGCTAAGCTTAGCGCTAGTCGAGGCATAGCTGATCTGAGGAATCTGGAAAAGCCGCAAGAGATTGGCCACCTGCAAGAAAATGCAGAAGGATTCATGAGATAGATACATGAAAGGAAGTCTTCTGGCAGTGTTACGCATCCATGCTGAGTAAAACCTGAATGCAGAAATGGCTGCAAGATTAAACGTGCTATTTATGGATCAGATAGCGCTGACTGCAGAACTGATTCACTCCAGATAACAGTAAACAAAATCAACATAAGTGGATTATGTACTGTATAATTCTTGTACAAAAGCATTTACATAATGACTCGCAGTACTTTCATTTCTTTAGCAAAACACATTTGAACCATTTTTATGAGACATTCAGCCTTGTGAAGGCTTAGCATTTTCACAGCCCATTTATCATTCAGTAGCTAATAACAGCCCAGTGTGACTTACAGCCATGGGGTTAGTCTTGGCCACCGTACTATCAATTCTGTGCCAGTAATAATTTGGAGGTTAAACTGGAAAACTATGAGTCTATTACATTACACAGTATATCGTTCCTGTTCAAAGAACATAGTAACTTTCCACATAGTGACTTCACACACACACAATTTCTAAACCACTTATCCTTTTGGGTCAGGGGGCGTAGTAGAGCCTATCCCAGTGGTCATTGGGCAGAACACAGGAAACACACTGGACAGGTTGCCAGTCCATCACAGGGCAGACACATACAATCACACACACATTTAGGATGTCCAATTGGCCTGACTGCATGTCTTTGGACTGTGAGAGGAAACTGAAGGAAACCCACGCAAACATTGGGAGAACATACAAATTCCACACAGAAAGGACCCTGGTTGCCTGGCTGGGGAACCGAACCCAGGCCATTCTTGCTGTCGCCATGTCGCCAGTAACTTTGCAAGAGAAGGCAAAAATTCATTTTTGTGCGTCAGCTAATGTACAGAGATTTTATCCCAAGCAATTTTGGAGCATTTCTATTGTCTTTCATCATGAAATTTCATACCATGTAAAGGGCAGCTGTTCTCATGTGTAAAATAATTTTTTGGGATAGTAATGATATTCACAATCTAATATAGATTCAGTCAAATTCAAAATGGACATATTCTAAAATATTCTTGCATTTTATTTGGTTCCCTGAAGTCCATTTATAATATATTTGTGCTTTTTGCACCAACAACAGTCAACAATAATTCATTTTTACATGACCATTTTCTATACAGGCTACTTTTGTTACTTTGCTTTTCCTGAATGTCTTGTCATGGCAGTCTATCATCAGTGCCAAAGTGCCTAACATTGTACAGTATTTGGCAGAAGAACATGTTGCTATGATTGTTTTCGGTTTCGGCACTTAGCATTTAATTAGACGTTTAGATGAACTCATACCTGACACCCAGGCCTCTGAGATGATGCTGCTAAAAGCCAGGTCTACAGTATCCTTAGAGACTTAGAGAAACTTAGAGACTCTCTGTGCCTGCTGTGTGTGACTGTGCTCTACAGTGGAGTGGGCTTTGCCTCAGGCGCTTCTTCAGAAGCCTAAGGGGAAGGCCGTATGATCACGCCATAGAAAGGAGGAAAAAAGAACATGTTCTGCTTTTGGCCTTTGGCACTTCATTCACTGCATTTCTCTGCATTTCCTCACTGCTCACTGACTGCACTCTCAGACAAAAGACTTTGATTAGATGCACGTGTTGTGGAATTTTAGAGAAGGTAGCAGAATATAGTGAAGATGTAAAAGAACAAGAGACAAATACAAAAAGAAGTGATTGAAACATCAGTGCTTTTTGACCTTTCATCTTATCTTCGATGTCATTGTAGCTTTGAAGAAGGTTTTGTCTGGAGCAAAAAACAAAAAAAAATACTTTTGACTGTATAAACTTCAGAGCTGCATCTAGAGTACTGTGCAAAAGTCAGAGACCACCTTTCATTTACCTTATTTACAGTCAAAACAGCCATTAAGAAGAAGTTCATTTTTCAGGAGATATTTTTGAGGAGATCAGGTGGACTGAGGGGGATCCTGGTGCAAGGTGGGGGTGCAAGTCAGCCCCCCATGAGCAAGTCAGTGGCGACAGTGGCAAGGAAAAAGTCCCTAAGAGACAGGAAGAAACCTTGAGAGGAACCAAGACTCAGAAGGTCGACACCGGATAGTAAACATTGTTAGTACAAAAACGGGGAAAACAGATGGAGCTCATTATTAATTTGATTAGTTTAGTTTATGTAGCAGCAGCAGCAACAATTTCTGAACAGTACTTTCATCTTTGAGAGAGAGGAGAAAATCAAGCTCTACTTTTGCTTCAGATCTGAAAAAATCCACAGGTGTTTCTGTCCATCCTTCCACTGTGAGACGACAACTCAACACTATGAGTCTGAAAGGATGTGTAGCTGTCAAGAAGCTGTTACTGAGAAAGGGACAAAAGAACAACGGACCAACCAGCCCAGAGTCCAGACCTCAACATAAATAAATGTGGTTGAGATTTATTGGATCATGAGAAGCAGAAAATGCAACCAACTTCTAAGACAGAACTTTGTAGGTGTGCAAAAATATCCCTGCAGATTTCTTTGAAAAGCTGAAAGCAAGTATCCCTGAAAGAATGGAAGTTGTGATAAAGGTAAACAGTAGATACATTAAACACTGAAAATGTTGATGTTATATTTAGTTGTTAAGGCTTGTGTGTAATTTTCTGCTAAATATATGTTTCCTGTTTTTGATGCTGAAAAATGAATAACTTGCACTTAATGGCCATTTTGACAATTAAATAAATGAAGGGTGGCCTCTGACTTTCACACGATACTATATGTCAGTGTTTCTACATTCACTGTGCACTTTATTTGTAACTCATGTACACCTTCTCATTTATGCAATTGTCTAACCAGCCAATCATGTGGCAGCAGTGCAGTGCCTAAAATCATGCAGATACAGGCCAGCAGCATGAAAGTGCATCTGAAAAATAAGCAGGAAGTACATGATGCAGTTATGTCAACATGGACCAGAATCTCATCTTGTGGGATCCATGCCATGAAGAACTGAGGCTGTTTTGAGAGTGAAGGGAGGCCCTAACCAGTAAGAGTACAGTGTTTCTAATTAAAGGCTTACAGGGTTACATTTGCCTAAATCTATACTTCATGAATCAGTTCTTAACTAGTTAATAGTACATAAACTGACATAAAAAGAACAAACCTAATGTGGCTTTCACATTATTATTCTACACATTTTAGAGCAGTTTCAGATATTTGAGTGCTAATTGACCAAAACATGTTAAAACAGTTTATGATCTGTACCCTTCATGAAACACAAGCATAAAATATCTCACTGAATCATTCAGATTTAATAAATCATTTAAAATCATCATTAAGTGCTCCCAGAATGACACTGCCAATATAGTCAGCTTTTCCACTACCTGCTTTCTGTGTTTCTTACCGGCCAACATGAAGAGTTAAGCATACATTTTTTATAAGTGTTGCTATAGAAACAGTTGGGAAGGGAATGAAAGGTTGTCTTTGAGAAACAGAGAGGTTAATGTTGAAAAAGTTGGCTTCCCTGGAGGTTCCTCGCCTCTGTAGAGATCAGCTTTACTGAGAGTTTATTGTCACACAACATTATCCTAAAAATCTCCTCTGCTTAAGCGCTGCTGACAGCCCCTATTTGAATAGGCTATGTTTGGAGACAGCTGCCAGGGTAGCTTTCTGAGAGTGAATGAGAGTTGTTTTTCTTCACGCCCTTCTCCGAAAAACATAAACACTTGGCATGATGCCAGACGAGGAGCTCAGGCTAAAGAGACTCATGCCATGATTTTTTAAAAAAGGTAATCCTTGTTATCTACAAGAATATTTACAAGGATTGTGTTTTGATTGATTTAAACCCAAGGTATTAAATGTGATAGTAATAAGTAATATGATTATATACAAAATAATAATTTACAGGGTACTTTCTATTGGGAGGTGTTTGTCCAAAACCTTAAATTTTAACTTGTGAAAACAACATTTAATTTTTTTGTCATTTTTAAAATAACTTTTTAAAATTTCTTTTAAAGTGAAGTTGAAAGATGTAGATTTATCTTGAGTTTAATTTTTAAATAAAAAAAACTTTATTCAACAATTTCTGTCTCATGTTTTCATATCACTATTTTTAGTTTTTTAGTCTATAGATGAGCCTTGTAGACCCCGGCATTATAGTGATTTCCCAATAAACATCCAGAAATATCAAATATTACACTACACTTTACCCAATAATGTAATAACTTGGCCAATAATGTAACACAATGCCTCAACAAATAATCTCATAACATTTTTACTGACCATGTAATACGTTATTACACTACTGGGAATTTATTACACTTTCAAGTTGACCATATGCAACACCTTACTACATTATTGGTAATTAATTATATTTACAGTGTGATCATTTTATTTTAAATGGATGATGTAATATTTTGCCTGGTAATGTAACAGCAGGTCATTTTGGTCCATGTTCTGCATTTTGGGCTGTAATCAGTATTGAGCTTTTATGTAGTATGTAGGATATAATATAGAATATATAGTGTATATAGTATTCTCAATAGATTCCAGCAGAGTGGATGTGCACTGTGGGAGAAGTTTGTACAAAACAGCCATGTTTAAGTTTTCCGCCATTCATTTTTTGAACGTTTGCTTTTCTCAAGTCTGATATCCACTCAACTGATTAATTTCTGTAACTAAAATATTGTTTTTTGAAATCTATGCAACAATATGTATGTAAATATGTACGTTTTGTAACAAAATGAACAAATAATTTATTAAATATATTAACCTCTTAAATGGCCAGGGCCCGCCAGCAGGTGCAAAGTTTTATTACTCACTTCTATAACCTAAGAATAGCTCAGCCAGTTTGCACTGAATTCCCTGTAATTACTGAATAATAAGCCTTTATATGTAATAAGCCTGGGATTTTAAGGGTTAATATTATTAAAACTCAAATCATTATTATAATAGACCCATGTCATTACTGCCAGCTTCATAGAGTTTTTTTATTCATTTTTTATTTTATAACAGCATAAATTAAACTAAGTTTATTTAAAATAAATGGATTT